ACCTCCTACAGCCGGGACCTGCCTTGCCCCTCCCCCTCCGATACCACCTCCTTGGGACCGGCACTTCCAGCCCCTCGCTCAGGGCTATAGCCTGCCCCTACCACCCGCCTTCTTGACTTAATGGGGCGACCCCCTCTCCTGGACCGGTAACTCCCCACCCTCCGCCGTGCGGCTCTCACCCCTCTCGGTCCCCTTCGCCGCCGCTCCGAGGTGGGCCACGCCCGGCGTCCTGTTGGAGAGTCTCCTTCCCGTGCCATCGCCCAGCGCTGGGGCCCCCGCCGTGACGCCCCTCTTGGCGTCGAGTCGCTCCCGCTCTGCAGCCCGGCTCCGCTCCCGCGGCTCCGCTCCCGTTCCCGTCTCCCCTCCGTTTCCATTCCCGGCCCCATCTGCTCCCCAACACCCCTTCGCCCTGCTCTCGACACGGCCCCCGAAACCTGGCCCTGCACCTTTCCCTGCCGCTGCTGCTTACGTGTTAGTTCCCGCCTGCTTTCCTGTGCATTCTTTCATTTCAGTCTTAGTCTCTCCACGATTCTTCTATCCCCTTTTCCTCCACGGCTTTATTCTCAGAGATGGGCCTCCTCAGACACCTACACAGCAGTCCCCATCCTCTCCCCTAACCTGCCCTGACTCCCCGTCCCGCTCCCGTGCCCACCGCCCGCCCCACCTCCGTCTCTGCCCTTTCCGCCATCCCCGGTAAACGAGCTGCTCCCTCCACACGCCCGGCCTGCGGGGCTCGGCCTGCTGGGAGCGGGGCGCCAGGGAGAGACATGGCTGCTGGCGGCCTGTCTCACTGAGGGAGGAGGTGCAGTTAGCTCTGGCCGCGGCCTCGTGGTCACAGGGTGTTGGTGAAGTGGCTCCGTAACGCTTGGTTTTTCTCACGGCCTCGTCCTCGTGGGCCCGCGGGCACCTGCGGACTGGGACGGGTCTTCTCGCGGCTGGGCCTGTGCCTTTGTGGTGTGTGGAGCCCCGTCCCTCGGGAATTCTCTGGCGCTGGCCTCAGTCCGGCAGAGCCAGCGCCTGGAGTCCTCAGACTCCTGGCAGACCTTGCCGCACGCCTCCCCAGGTGGGGGTGAGGTGCTGGGAAGCAGCCGGGCGCAGTTGGGGTGCTGACTAAGTCGGGCTCTAAAGCTCTGTCCTTGCATGATGGAGCCGGACGCCTCTGGTTTTCTCTGGGGCTTGGACGCGCCCTGTTTTATTTCAGGTCTTAGAAATTCTTTTGGTGAAGAGATTATTGCTCGTGGGTTGTGAAGAGGCTGCTACCCTTTATAGACTGGCACAGGAGGGAGAGTTTATCCTAGGAGGCCACTAGACTTTTACTTGGATTTTCTTGGCAGGAGGTGAGAGGGAACATGGTGTTTGGGCTCTGTGGTTGCCTTGAAGGGACTGGAGAGTTTGAATAGGCTGAAGGAAAAGACACCAGAGGGCCACGGACCTGGGCTCCTAGTGAGAAGGAAAGAGCTACTGAAGTCTGTAAAGGGAGCAAAAAATGAAACACTTGGTGTTTGGCCCACAGGCTCCGGCACGTTTTGGGGGAGGTGCCTGTAGGACCCATCGTACTCAATGAGCTTCCAGCGCAATGTCCGATCGCTCGGGGCCGACTGCCAAGGGGAAGGATGGAAAGAAGTATTCCTCGCTCAACCTGTTTGATACGTACAAGGGCAAGTCCTTAGAGATCCAGAAACCCGCTGGTGAGGGTCCTGCAAAAATGCTTCTAATTATTGGAGGCTGGGCATGAATGGGCACGCACTTTAGAGCACTTGGAAGGGAAATGGCTACAATACAATTTGTCAAAAAACTAGAGGAACACTAGAGACTCCCCAACTTCATGTTGGATTCCATAGAGGACATTGGGCTTGGAGTAAACACCAATCACCCTCCTACAAAGGCGTGTCTGTGGTTCCCTGTCTTTGGACACGTAAGAATTGGAGGCAAAGAAATGTGGACTTGGAGAAGTCTGGAACCAGCTTGCTCCCTGCAGGCTCAAGATCAACCATCCCACATAGAGCCTTGGATGGAATGTCTCTCGGCCTGCCCATAGGATTTCAGAGATTGCTGAGGGCACAGGAAGGGGTGGTTTCTAAGAGAAGTTTGGTAGTAAGGCATGGAGGATATCTTAGTGGTACACAGAGTAGGACACCGTCAGGTCTCCCATGTGAAGCATTCTTCACCCTCTCTCCTTTTCTCCAGTTGCCCCTCGCCATGGCCTGCAGAGTCTTGGGAAAGTTGCCATTGCCCGGCGTATGCCACCCCCAGCCAACCTTCCAAGCCTGAAAGCCGAGAATAAAGGCAATGACCCCAATGTCTCACTAGTGCCGAAAGACGGAACAGGATGGGCAAGCAAACAGGAGCAGTCCGACCCCAAGAGGTAGAGAGAGGCTTGGGAGACCTAGAGTGATAAGTATTTTTACGTTGAACTTCGGGATGAACTGGGCTTGGTCTAGCCCAGCCACATAGCCAGAGTCAAAGAGGGAAGCCCCTCTCCTGCCTCTTTCCCGGGACTCCTGTTCGATGCCTAAGGAATGGGACTTTAGCTTTCTGTCCGAGGGAAACAGCAAGCAGAAACGGTGACAGCCTGTGCGGGTGCCATGGTTCTAGTATTTTGTCCTAATATGTGTAACTAATAGCAGAGGGGCCTGCATTCCATTCCTATCCTCCTCCAGCGGGAGGAGTAAGGAAGGCACCTCAGGCTCTGGGTAACCTTCCCTCCTTCCATCCCCTCAGTTCCGATGCGTCAACAGCTCAGCCGCCGGAATCGCAGCCACTGCCGGCTTCACAGACGCCTGCCTCGAACCAGCCGAAACGACCCCCAGCAGCCCCCGAGGTATCTGAAGCACCGGATGTTATTGAAGGGGTAGGAGCAAGAATGGCTTATAGCTCCCCACCTACGCCACCGTTTCTTTTCTCTGCTTCTCCAGAACACTCCTTCGGTTCCAAGCGGGGTAAAGTCCTGGGCACAAACCAGCGTCACCCATGGAGCACATGGAGATGGTGAGTGCGGGCACTGGTAGGCAGGAGCCCTGCCCGCACCTTCAGTGCAGTGTCCTCACTCCTGTTTGGCTCCATGTGGGGCCCGCCCTCAGTTCCGTGGCGCACATGAGCAAGTTGTGTCAGTCTTGTATGAGGGTGAGGAGGGCACCCAAGAACCGACTGTGCTTCTTAGGGAATAGGCACCTAATGCAGAGGGTGGGCTGGAAGGCAGGAAGCTGGTGACCTGGTACCTATCGGAACCTTCCCCTTTAGTGGGGCATCTTCAGTAAATGTACTTCTGTATCCTGTTCTGCTTTCCAACCTCAACAGGTGGAAGGGCATCAAGCCTACTGTCACGATTCTCTCGAGAGGAATTTCCGACCCTGCAGGCGGCTGGCGACCAGGACAAGGCTGCCAAGGAAAGGGAGTCTGCCGAACAGTCGTCTGGGCCCGGACCAAGCCTCCGCCCCCAGAGTGAGTGGCTGCCATTTGGGAGGGGGCTGTGGGTATGTGAGGGCTTACCTTTGGGCTGGGATATTACCTTATTCTATCTCGGAGCTAGTGCGTCTCGTCATTTTCAGCCCTGTTCGCTCTCTGCCTTTTCCAAAATCCAGATTCTACAACTTGGAGGGACGGAGGTGGGCGTGGCCCTGATGAGCTGGAGGGCCTGGACTCCAAACTTCATCACGGCCATGATCCCCGGGGGGGACTGCAGCCTTCCGGCCCACCCCAGTTCCCTCCCTACCGAGGAATGATGCCGCCCTTCGTGAGTTGGGATGTCTTGTTTGGAGTGGTTGCACTGGAAGATAGAAGTTGGGATTTACTCTCTGGAGGGTACAGCTGGAAAGCAGGGGCCTATGATATAGAGTGGGAATGGGGAGAAGGTAGGTTTAGGGAGCTGGCAGGCTCTTTGACCATCCCTCTGAGCAGTTGCTTTTGGGCCCTTTTGCAGATGTATCCCCCGTATCTCCCATTCCCTCCACCCTATGGACCCCAGGGGCCTTACCGATACCCCACCCCTGACGGGCCCAGGTGAGTAATGCCAGGTCAGGTCTGGGTTTGTGATTGGGGACGGGGGAGCCTGTTGGTGGAGTGATGATTTTCTAGCCAGGAGGCTGTCTTGTATACACTGGGCTATCTTTTACCTTCTCTTCCATTTGCTTTTTCATACACAGCCGTTTTCCCCGTGTGGTAGGCCCCCGGGGCTCAGGGCCGCCAATGCGCCTTATGGAGCCTATGGGTCGGCCCTCCATTCTTAAAGAGGATAATCTCAAAGAGTTTGACCAGCTGGACCAGGAGAACGATGATGGTTGGGCAGGCAAGTTAATTTTGTGTGTGTGTGTTAATCCTCACCCGAGGATATTTTCTTTTCCATTGCTTTTCAGAGAGTGGAAGGGAGAGAGAGAAGGAGGGGTGGAAAGAGAGACATCTATGTGAGAGAGACATTGACTGGTTGCCTCCCCCAGTCACCCAACTCGGAGGTGGGGAGTCAACCTGCAACTGGGGTATGTGCCTTTGGGAATCGAAACCAGGATCCTTCAGTGTGCGGGCCAACACTCTGACCATTGAACACACTGGCCAGGGTCAGGTAAATGAATATTAAGGATCAAGAATTTTGGTCTTAAAAGGCAAGATCTGATAAGGAAAAAATACACTGATGGGTAGGGGAGATAATGTGCAGGAAAGCCAAGTCCTGGAGATGAACTGCAAGGATTGAGAAGGACAAGACTCCAGTGGGTCCAGACTTCAGAGAGAGGGGTGGCATTGGTGGTGCAAGTCATCGTATAGCTCCAGACCACTGCCTCTGTCCCAGAAGCTCCCTGAGATCCGAAAGCAGAGTGGTGGAGTACTGCTCTTCACATTTCCCCCCAGGGGCTCACGAGGAGGTTGACTACACTGAAAAGCTCAAGTTCAGTGATGAGGAGGATGGACGAGACTCCGATGAGGAGGGAGCTGAGGGCCAGTGAGTTAAGGCCCTCTGGGGAGGGGAGGGG